TTTTTTATTTGATTTATTGAAAACCAGTGAGATAAGAAAAACGCGTGCTTTATTAAACTTATCTCACGCAAAATGAGTGGGATAAGAAGTTCTTATCTCACGGGCGTAGATAATAGCTATTTACGAAACAAGAGCGGAAAACTACATTCGTGAATAAGCGAATACTTTAAGTCGTGGGAATGTGTGGAAGATCATTCACGCACGAAGTTTCTAAAATACTTTTAGAAATGAATTGAATTATTTACCATGTAAATCCTAAATAAAAATGTCATACAAGTTTAAATTTAATTTTAATAAGTAGCGGCTCGTGGTAATTTAAAATGGGTGTTCAATTTTTTCCAATAATTTAATCATTTGTAAAACTTTGTACAAGAGCCAATATCCCACAAAACTTCTTTGGCATCGTCGTTTTATTACAATTAAATTTCGAATTTTTAATAAGACTCCTGAGTTATAAAAAGGTTTCTTGATACCATCACTTAGATGATCCATTACTAGAAATGGTACAAGCGCAGAAACTACCTTTTTTATTTCATCTGAAACTCGTGAAATTTTCGAAGAACTTGTCAATCTAAAAAATGCAAAAATTTTCCGTTGTTTTAATTAGTTTTTAGGACAAACCTAAGAGCTGCTAGTGAATCCTGAAATATGCTTTTTATACTTCGCACAAACATTTGCTCTTTTAGTGAAGCAATTTTTGATTAAATTACATGGCTATACAAAAGCCACTATAACCACTCTGGGCATTGCAAAGCCAAGATAAAAATAATGGGTCTTGTTCAAATTTCGCCCGGTAGAACTGTTTAAAACTTTATTTACACTACACCACACTATAAGTAAAAGCAAACCACGAACAAAATACAAAAATCGGTTATTTTAGATTAATCGGATATTTTCGATTTTTTAGAGATATATTCAATTTTGATTAATCGATTACAATAATATACTGTTTACAAACACTACAACTATTAACAATTGCTGTACTCTAGTGATAAATAAATAATCTATTCATAAAAGTAATCGACTATTGGAAAAATCGAAAAGAATCGAATAGAACCAAACAGAACAGAAAAGATTTGAAAAGAATCGAAAAGAATCGAAAAGAATCGAAAAGAATCGAAAAGAATCGAAAAGAATCGAAAAGAATCGAAAAGAATCGAAAAGAATCGAAAAGAATCGAAAAGAATCGAAAAGAATCGAAAAGAATCGAAAAGAATCGAAAAGAATCGAAAAGAATCGAAAAGAATCGAAAAGAATCGAAAAGAATCGAAAAGAATCGAAAAGAATCGAAAAGAATCGAAAAGAATCGAAAAGAATCGAAAAGAATCGAAAAGAATCGAAAAGAATCGAAAAGAATCGAAAAGAATCGAAAAGAATCGAAAAGAATCGAAAAGAATCGAAAAGAATCGAAAAGAATCGAAAAGAATCGAAAAGAATCGAAAAGAATCGAAAAGAATCGAAAAGAATCGAAAAGAATCGAAAAGAATCGAAAAGAATCGAAAAGAATCGAAAAGAATCGAAAAGAATCGAAAAGAATCGAAAAGAATCGAAAAGAATCGAAAAGAATCGAAAAGAATCGAAAAGAATCGAAAAGAATCGAAAAGAATCGAAAAGAATCGAAAAGAATCGAAAAGAATCGAAAAGAATCGAAAAGAATCGAAAAGAATCGAAAAGAATCGAAAAGAATCGAAAAGAATCGAAAAGAATCGAAAAGAATCGAAAAGAATCGAAAAGAATCGAAAAGAATCGAAAAGAATCGAAAAGAATCGAAAAGAATCGAAAAGAATCGAAAAGAATCGAAAAGAATCGAAAAGAATCGAAAAGAATCGAAAAGAATCGAAAAGAATCGAAAAGAATCGAAAAGAATCGAAAAGAATCGAAAAGAATCGAAAAGAATCGAAAAGAATCGAAAAGAATCGAAAAGAATCGAAAAGAATCGAAAAGAATCGAAAAGAATCGAAAAGAATCGAAAAGAATCGAAAAGAATCGAAAAGAATCGAAAAGAATCGAAAAGAATCGAAAAGAATCGAAAAGAATCGAAAAGAATCGAAAAGAATCGAAAAGAATCGAAAAGAATCGAAAAGAATCGAAAAGAATCGAAAAGAATCGAAAAGAATCGAAAAGAATCGAAAAGAATCGAAAAGAATCGAAAAGAATCGAAAAGAATCGAAAAGAATCGAAAAGAATCGAAAAGAATCGAAAAGAATCGAAAAGAATCGAAAAGAATCGAAAAGAATCGAAAAGAATCGAAAAGAATCGAAAAGAATCGAAAAGAATCGAAAAGAATCGAAAAGAATCGAAAAGAATCGAAAAGAATCGAAAAGAATCGAAAAGAATCGAAAAGAATCGAAAAGAATCGAAAAGAATCGAAAAGAATCGAAAAGAATCGAAAAGAATCGAAAAGAATCGAAAAGAATCGAAAAGAATCGAAAAGAATCGAAAAGAATCGAAAAGAATCGAAAAGAATCGAAAAGAATCGAAAAGAATCGAAAAGAATCGAAAAGAATCGAAAAGAATCGAAAAGAATCGAAAAGAATCGAAAAGAATCGAAAAGAATCGAAAAGAATCGAAAAGAATCGAAAAGAATCGAAAAGAATCGAAAAGAATCGAAAAGAATCGAAAAGAATCGAAAAGAATCGAAAAGAATCGAAAAGAATCGAAAAGAATCGAAAAGAATCGAAAAGAATCGAAAAGAATCGAAAAGAATCGAAAAGAATCGAAAAGAATCGAAAAGAATCGAAAAGAATCGAAAAGAATCGAAAAGAATCGAAAAGAATCGAAAAGAATCGAAAAGAATCGAAAAGAATCGAAAAGAATCGAAAAGAATCGAAAAGAATCGAAAAGAATCGAAAAGAATCGAAAAGAATCGAAAAGAATCGAAAAGAATCGAAAAGAATCGAAAAGAATCGAAAAGAATCGAAAAGAATCGAAAAGAATCGAAAAGAATCGAAAAGAATCGAAAAGAATCGAAAAGAATCGAAAAGAATCGAAAAGAATCGAAAAGAATCGAAAAGAATCGAAAAGAATCGAAAAGAATCGAAAAGAATCGAAAAGAATCGAAAAGAATCGAAAAGAATCGAAAAGAATCGAAAAGAATCGAAAAGAATCGAAATTAATCGAAATTAATCGAAATTAATCGAAATTAATCGAAATTAATCGAAATTAATCGAAATTAATCGAAATTAATCGAAATTAATCGAAATTAATCTAAATTAATCTAAATTAATCGAAATTAATCGAAATTAATCGAAATTAATCGAAATTATTTGAAATTAATCGAAATTAATCGAAATTAATCGAAATTAATCGAAATTAATCGAAATTAATCGAAATTAATCGAAATTAATCGAAATTAATTGAAATTAATCAAAAAGAATCAAAAAGAATCAAAAAGAATCGATTATTCGAAAATAATCGAAATTAATTGAAATTAATCAAAAAGAATCAAAAAGAATCGATTATTCGAAAATAATCGATTAATCGAAAATAATCGATTAATCGAAAGTAATCGACTAATCGAAAATTATCGATAAATCATAAAGGATCGATTGTTTTTAAGTAATCTACTAGTCGAAAATAACTGATTATTTATTTTGATGATCGGCCCTAACGTTTTTAGCAATTCACTTTGGCAACAAAATTATTTAAATAGGAAGTTTTATTTGAGTAACTGAATTTTTTTTATTAATTTTTAGAAATCTACTGAAATCTACCAAAAGAAAATTGTCTACTAAAAAAAGCCAAAATAGCTGAAAACCTTCCAAAAAAGCGAAATCCAGCAAATGTGGCAACGTTGAATTAAAGACTTCCAGTCAGAGTGACCTTGATCAAACACAACTAATCGTTGGACCAAGCGAAGTTAACTGTCGTGACGTAATCTACGTGCGATGCACAAAATTATGCTAAAAATAGCGTGGTTTCAAACAGGCACACTGCTGTTTCACGGATCTATTAACCTGCCTTTTTAACATTCATTCTCAGACACCTCTCGCGTTCACTAGACATATTGAACTGACAGATCGGCCTGAGCGCAGTGGGGTACCAAAAAAAGTAGAGATTAATACGTACGAAAATAATAAATATATTAAAGTGAATTTATATTATTAAGTTATTTACTATGTGACTTTAAAATAATTTGCTCTTATGAAATTTAACTGGGTGTTCACTGCACAAATGAACCAATGGAGAGACCGCCCCTGATTTCAGTAGGTGTATAAAACAAAGCAAGCCACGACTGCATAACATCACTTTGACAGTCGATTTATTTCATTAAAAGCTTATTATTTTCCTAATGTAATTCGTCGATTCGGCCGAAGCAGTGTTTCCCGGTCGACAATTGCATGCGCCAAATTTGTCTTTTTAGGAGGTAATTTCAAACATTTATCAATGGTCGCTCTCTGTCAACCATTAATTCCAAAAATATTTTGGTATGATATACAATAAAATATAAAAAAAATTATTTATTATCAAGACAAATATTTGTGAAAAGTTTCTCATGAACAGTTACTCCTTCTTTATTATACTGTAACTTTGTGTCGATTATTAAAAAGTTATTAAATAAGTTATTAAAAGTATTGAGTAACGTCTTATCCTCAGACGTTGATTTCAAATACATCCATAATACTTTAAAAACAAAAATTAATTGGTAAACTTATGAAAACTAACCCCCATTTATTCTATATTTTTCCTCTATTAAAAATAAAAACAGGATCCTTATAAGTCAGTTTGACGTGTCAACATCCAAAAAAATTGTCTCTCTATATTTTTGAAGAAAAATAGGTTTTGCGAGTTATTAATATCTATTTTGGAAGTTTTTAGACTAAATTAGTGTTTAGTGACGCGTAATGGACCTTTGAGGCTGCGCTATTTAATTGTAATATTGTGTCTTCGTGTTAAAGTGAAACTATTTGAATAGACAATAAAAACCTGATAAGATAGTGTTAAAAGAACGTTTGTCTCAAGTCCCTCCATTCAGGAGGGGCTATTAAAAAGTTTTAATAATGAGTGATATTAAAACCACCCCTCTTGACTACAAGAGTAACAATAGCTTAAATGTAATGAGTTCTAATGTATCCCAACCCAATGAGTTAATAAATATTAGTACAAATAATAAAACAGCTTCTCCCAGTACTTCGTACGTATCGGCAGTAAAAGTAGTCCCAAAAATCACCTTCCCAAAAAAAGACCAAGCAATAGTACTTCATGCAGAAGACAGTCTTAAATTATTTGATTATGTGAAAGCCATAGGAGATATCATAGGACCAAAAAATATCTCATTTGCATCTAGAATATCCAACAACAGAATATGTATATATTTAGGCAGCACCGAATTGGTAGATAATCTGGTAAAATCTCATTCTACAATCCAGTTACAAAATTTAATTTTAAATGTTCGCAGACTCATATCCCCAACAAAAAGGATACTTATCTCAAATGTTTCTCCGTCCATACCTCACGAAGTTATAGAAAACGCCGTTAAAAATCTTGGATTGCACCTGGCTTCTCGAGTATCCTTTTTAAAGGCTGGTTTTTCCGATGAGTATATCCATATCCAAAGTTTTAGACGACAAATATATGTATTCCCTACTTCTGATAATTTCGAAATACAAACATCGATTTTAATTTCTTATGATGGTGTTGATCATAGAATTTTTCTATCCACTGACAAAATGGAGTGTTTTATATGCAAGCAGATAGGCCATATCTCAACCACATGCCCTAATGCTGCATCTATCAATATTCCCGTTAATCAACCGTTAAAAGAAGTCGACAGCTTAGATTTAAATTCATCTCCCACATCAAATGAGCAGATTGATTTTTCTTCAACGCAGATGACAAGTACCTCGATGATACCCCCTACCAATCAAATATTGATAGAACCATGTGTCACAGACTTCAATCTTACCCCATCAAGTATACAATATAACAGTAATACTCAGGCAGCCAGTCAAAAAAGGAACCATTCGGAAACAATATCCTCCTGTGATCAGCTTAGTTTACCTGATAACATATGTTCTCCAACCCTTTTACCAACTCCTGAATTAATGCCTCCACCTAATGATTTGTCTGATACTACACGACATATTAATAGGAGAAAGAAGAAACGCAAATCCTCAGAACCGAGACTTACTGAAGTTTTGAAAAAGAATATTGAAGAAGCCTACCAAAACCTAAACGAGTCTTTTATCCTCCCCATTGACAATTTTATTGCATTTTTGGAAAACACTTTTAGAAGCAGTAACCCTTATGATGAAGCTATCAAATTTACAAAAGATATTAAAATTCTTCTTTCTAATATATATAGTATATACCCATTACTTGAAGAAAGATCCACCAAAAATAAATTTACACGGTTATATAAAAAACTGAAGAAACAACTGGAAGCTGAAACAGTCGAATCGGGAAGTAACAGTGCGACACCTATGTCAACCACAGACCTAAGTGATGAAGAGGTTTTATCCGATACTTCTTTTATTTCATTGACGCCAAATTAGACATTCTAATTTTTTCATAAAATTTATTAACATTCAAATTAATTCAGTGGAACTGCGATGGATTCTATCCTCGCTTACCATATATCCAACAATTCATAAATGAAATATTTCCCAATGTCATTTGTCTACAAGAAACTAACTTTAAAGATTCTCATAATCCCCTCCTAAAAAATTATATGGGTTACCATTATCTAAGACCGCATTATTTGCGAGCTAGTGGTGGTTCTTCGATTTTTGTTAGTGCAGATTCCTATTCCGAATATTTTTTCTTAAATACCAACCTAGAGGCAATTGCGGTTACGGTTTGGTGTCCTTAAAAAATGGTAATATGCAGCGTATATATACCACCAAATTATAACTTAAATGACACAGATATTTTTGACTTAATCATGCAACTTCCTTCCCCTTTCATTTTAGTTGGCGATTTTAATGCCCACAGTGAAATGTGGAATTCTGACCATTCATCCAGCAGAGGAAAACAAATAGAGAATGTGATTTCGTTAACAGACATATGTCTTTTAAATACCGGTGAAAATACATATTTCAATATTTCCTCCGGAAATTTTTCAAAAATAGATCTTAGTTTCTGTAGTCCTAGCCTAGCATCTTTCCTCACTTGGAAAACCCTGGATTCTCTGTATGATAGTAATCATTTCCCTATTTTACTCACAGATAATAAGACACAAACCACCGACAATGAGAAGAGATGGCGAATTACTCATGCTAATTGGGACAATTTCAGTATGAATGCAAAAGAACTAACTGATTTAATAAATTTTTCAAATAATATTGAAACTGCTGTAAATCAACTTACCCAGTGCATAATTTCCTCTGCAGAAACACATATTGGAAAATTTTCATTACAATCAAGAAACAAATTTGTTCCATGGTGGAATCAATCGTGTGCCAGTGCGATTCGAGAATATAAGTCAGTTTTAAATAAATATAGACGAACCAGAACTCTAGATGATCTCATTAATTTTAAAAGGCTGAGAGCTAAATCTAGAAGAATTGTAAAGGATAGCAAAAGAGAATCATGGAAGAAATATATAAGTTCAATTACATGTGAAACGCCTGCAACACAAGTATGGGCTAAAGTTAGACAAATGCAAGGTAGACATACTTCTTACAAAATACCTGCTCTAATATTCGAAAATCAAATTGTTACTGACAATCAAATTATAGCGAATGTCCTCGGTCTACACTTTCAAGCTAAATCTAAATCCAAATCCAACGCAACACTCCCACCATCTAATTTAAATCCTTCAACTTCACATTTAGATGTTGAATTTTTAAACCTTCCATTTTCAGGTGATGAACTGAAAATCGCCCTTTCTTCTTCCAAAAATTCCGCTGCTGGGCCAGATGATATTCCATTCAGCTTTATAAAACATTTACATAAAGATTCATTAACTAAACTTTTGGAATTATATAACAAAATCTGGTTTAGTCAAGAATTTCCTTCAACTTGGCGTCAATCAATAGTCATTCCCGTTAGGAAATCAGAAATCATATCAACTCTTCCTAATTCATTTAGGCCCATATCGTTAACTTGTACTATGTGCAAACTATTTGAAAAAATGATTAACAAACGTTTGACTTGGTACTTGGAAAAATTTAAACTGTTTACTGAGTCACAATCTGGTTTTAGAAAAAATCGCAATACAATGGATAATCTTGTCTTTCTTCAAACTGAAATTGCGAACGCTATGAATAACCAACAAGATGCCATTGCAGTAATTTTGGATATAGAAAGTGCATACGATACCACACCGAGACCCATTATCCTTAATAAACTTAAAGATTGTGGAATATCTGGTAATATGGCTAATTTTATAAGTAATTTCCTATCTGACAGAACCTTTAAGGTAAAGGTAAACGGAACCATATCTTGCTCATACACTATTGAGAATGGAGTGCCTCAGGGTTCAGTTTTGAGTCCCACCTTATTTCTTCTAGCTATTAATGATATTTGTTCCTTTATCCAACAACCAGTTAAATGTGCTTTATATGCAGATGATCTTGTTCTCCTCTGCCATGGTAAGAATACAGACAGTACTTCCACGTTACTTCAAAATGCTGTGAACAAGCTCAGCTACTGGGCTAGAAGTATAGGTTTTAGTTTTTCAACATCCAAATCAAAAGTTATGAAGTTCAGTAGAAGATACAATAGTATCTCAATCCCTCATATAAACCTCGAGGGTGTTGTACTAAACACTGTTACTTGTAACAAATTTCTTGGCGTAATCTTTGATAGTAAGCTCACTTTTAAGCGGCACATACAAGAAACCAAAGGTGTCTGTCTTAAACGCTTGAATATTTTAAAAACTTTATCTCACTATTATTGGGGGGCGGAGGAAGAATCACTGTTAAGAATTTATATAGCATTAATCCGATCTAAATTAGATTATGGTAGCCCTGTTTTTATATCTGCATCCAAAACATATTTACGCACCTTCAACACTATTCATAACTCTGCCCTGCGACTGTGTCTTGGAGCTTTTAGATCCAGCCCAGTGAACAGCCTGTACTGTGAATCCCACGAGCTTCCTTTACATTTCCGCTATCAACTTAATTTGCTTTCTTATTGTACTAAAGTTCAAACTCTGATAATCCAGTATATAAACTTCTTAATCATTCATTAAACTCTAATGCAAACTCTTCAAAAATTCCTCAACCTGTTCTGCACATCTTAAAGCCTCTTTTAGATAATATCGACTTGTCTAACACCACTCCTATCTCTTTCTCTCATACTCCTCCTTGGACTAAAAAATTACCCAATATAGACATTTCATTATCCAAATACAGTAAAGAAACTACTCCCAGTGTACTTTATAAACAATATTTTAGACATATTATCAATACAAATGATTTTAATTCAATTTTATTTACGGATGCTTCCAAAAATGAAAATGGAGTAGGTGGCTCAGTAACAACCGCTGAAGCATTACTGGCAAAATTCAGACTCCCAATCAACTGCAGCATTCACTCAGGAGAACTTTTTAGTATCTCAAAAGCTCTGAAGTTACCAATTGAAGAGCGTCAGAAGGTGGCCATCTGCACTGATTCCCTATCATCAATTCAATCTATCCAGGACATTTTTTCTCAACATCCACTAGTTCAAGATATTCATGAATCTTTTCAAACATTATTAAAAAATGAAATTTGTGTTTCAATTATTTGGGTCCCTTCACACGAGGGTATTGAAGGCAATGAGATAGCCGACTATTACGCCAAAAAAGCTATTACAAGTAACATACCTTTAGAAAATATTCAATTATTTAAAGATGTAATAGGCTCTTTTAAAAAATCAATTTGGAATAAGTGGTCAGAATACTGGACAGGATCCAATACCAAATTATATGCAATCAAACCCGATGTCACCTCCTTTAAATTTCCAGCTAATAATAGAAAAAATAAAATTTTAATACGAAGATTACGGATAGGTCATACAAGACTCACCCATGGCTACTTAATGGCATCGGATAATCCACCGTTCTGCCAATATTGCCATAATACCAATCTCACTATAAGTCATATACTGGTAGACTGTCCACAATATGAAGAAGCCCGCAAAAGCCTTGGATTGGGAAACTCTTTGAAAGATATCCTTGGAGTCCCCGAACAGTACCCAAGACTGATAAACTTTCTGCAGCACACCAACTTGTATAATTTAATTTAATTTTTTAGGAAGTTGATATTATTAGAAAGTTAATATTATTAGAAAGTTGATATTATGTATCTTGTAAATTATAGTTTATTATATTTCATTGTATCGTGTCAATAACCATAGCTGTTGAGACACGTTAATTGTTAAAAAAAAAAAAAAAAAAAAAAAAAAAAAAAAAAAAAAAAAAAAAAAAAAAAAATAAAAACAATACACTTTAAAAGTGAAGCAATACGAAAATACTCATTTAAAGCCAAGTAAAGTCTATTTTTGATTAAATCTTATATATTAAATTAATGAATGACTCTGAATATCTATTGATATTATTAGATCTATAGTTATACTAAGGTCATTTTCTCAAATTGTGTTTGTTTACTATTTACAATTCAACTATTTCTCGAGATAAAAATCTGAATCGCTAGTAGTAGGCATTAGGTACGATATAGACAGCAACGATTTCGACCCTGGCTAAACAATTTCGACCCGGGGCGAGACAAGTGAAAACTCGTCCGATAATAATTTAATTATTATTAGTGAACAAAAACATGTGCGCTGTACGCCTATGATTCCTTGGCCCACATTAGTCAAGTTTGTTTTTCTTCGGAGTAGTTACAATTTTGATTGGGATAGGTTGATTGTTTAAAAGACTAGGTAGGTATATATTATCAGTAGTTATTGTTTCAGTTGTTAAGAATGAATACCTAAAGAATTTATTTTAACTTTTTACATTCCGTTATTGGCGCTAGTGTCTATACAACCGCTAAATGTATTAAAATTTTGATTTTTATTAATTTTTCAATTTACGAATTAGCGTTTGAATATTCTTATATCGAATATTGATGGGACCTTAACTCATTACAAGTAGAAGTGTCACGAAATTTATATTTTTTATTTTTTCCATCTTAGAACTCGAAAAAATTGATTTTTTGGACATATAACTTATATTAACAAATTTTTCCAAGGTAGAAAACTAGAGTTTTTCTGACTTTTTTGACATTATTACTTCAACAAGTTATCTTAAAATGTCACAGATCGAATGTTTGTGCTGAAAATTACTATTTTGGGTACAAGTATACACACAGTAATATATAGTTTAAAATAGGCCAAGTTATTTTCTGTAAGGATTTAATACCTAAATGAAGATAAATATTCTAGTTTTGGATACATATTTTTAAAATTTTTACAAAAAAGGATTTAAAACATTATTCAGTGTATTACCAGAGAAATTATTTAAAACTTGTCCAAAATGAGTAGTAGTTACTTCAACATCAACCAGGAAACATATACAGAGTGTTTAAAAGAATAAGAAACTTTTTTTTAAATTTTATGACTCCGGTATGATTTTTAGCTGAATTTATCAAAGTCGGTCCTAACTC